ACCAAAATCAACTTCAACACCACCACATCCAAAACAAAAATCAAAATCAAAATCAAAATCAAAACCAAAACCAAAATCAACCCCAACTTCAACTTCAACTTCAACCCCAATGCATGTACCACCACCACAACAAGCAGCCCCATCCGTATATCCACCAGAGTCATCCACCCGTCCAGAGTTCGTTGAAGGACCTTCAATTGAAGAGAATAACGAAGAACTTGGTGAGTGGGTTACAATATTCACATCACCTTCATCATTTGCACAACAACCAAATGAGGGAATGTGTGAGGGGCCATCAATTGAGGAATTTGATGAAGAGCTTGGTGAGTGGGTAACAATCTATACCTCACCTTCATCATTCGCTCAATCCACCCAAGGACCAACACCAGAACCAACACCAGAACCAACACCAGAACCAACACCAGAACCAACACCAGAACCAACACCAGAACCAACACCACAACCAAGTACATCCACCACCTCATCTGCCTATCCAAGTTTCTATGCACCAGAATCCAAGTACTATTTTGAAGGTGCATCAACACAATCAAATGAGGGAATGGGTGAGGGACCATCAATTGAGGAGTTTGATGAAGAACTTGGTGAGTGGGTAACCATTTACACATCACATGCATTATTCACACAATCCACCCCACAACCAACACCAGAACCAAGTACTCCAACCACTGCATCAAATTACCCAACATTTTATGCACCAGAATCTAAATTTGATATTTCAGGTGCATCAACAATCTAATGGGAAAATTTTTAAGAACTATTTAAAGAATTTGATGAAAAACTTGGAAAATGGACCCAATACACACCACAATATATAATCATTTAAAAAACTCTTGGTATTTAAAACACTCCATTTCAGATGATGCTTCCAAAAATTTTGCAAATTTTAATTTTTTTTTTAATTTTTTTTTTTTTTTTTTTTTTTTTTTCAAAATTTTTTTTTTTTTTTTATTATTTTTTTTTAAGGGGCCCATAGAATTTTGTTATAATTATTATCAAACAAACTGAAATCTCCGTTAATGGAGGTTTATTATTGTAAAATTACAAATTTTACTATTTTGGGGGTTATTCAGTTTCTAAATTTTCAATTATAAAAAATATTGAAATGAAGAAACAACAAATAACCATCTTGGGGGTACAGCATGTATTGCCGCTAAATGTATACAAAGAGTTACGTCATCTAACCAAACCAATTTTGCTATAGTCATAGAAAAAGGTAATTTAATTTTAAAATCTATATTTTTATATGACAACAATTATGCTAATATACGAACTTTTTTAAACCAAATCAAATTGCCAATTCAAGTATGTGAATCTGGAAAGCACTTTAAAGATATTGAGAAGTTAATAGGTTTACTTGTGTTTTTCAAGAGACATTTAACAGAGCTAGAATTAACTCTTTTTCCAATATAGACATGAACTCACCAGATTTATGTTTTCATGGATTGCAAAAAAGAGGTATAAAATTAATACCTTATTTCATACAAATTCAACATAAAGTTCCAGTTGATAAAAAGGTATTATTACAACAAGCATTGCGTTACAAATGATCAATCTTTTAATTTATTCAAAAATTCACATTTTATTGAATTAATGGAAATTGCCACTGATGGGAAATATATTCAATACAAACCAGAACAAATGGTTGAATATGTTCATTTGATGGCAAAAGAATTCAGGGTATTACAATCAGAAAAAGTCAGGGCGATTGGCAAAAAAGCCATTTCACTAGATTTATGGAGATCACCTTATAACCATTATTATTTTTTATGTCTCAATGTTCACTTCATAGATGATAATTATATTTTACAAAAAGTATTATTAGATTTTATTTATTTTGGTGAAAAAAAACATACTTCAGAAAACTTGTACCACGTTTTGGTTGACCGTTTAAAAAAATCAAAACACGAATTTAAAGACTTTAATATCCGTACTAAAGAAAGTAACAAGTGCAAGTAATCATGTAATGGCCACTCAAGGTGAAGTCGTATGCCAGGTCCAGATGAGCGATCAAATCAAATCAAATATCAATTTCGAAGTTTTTAAGGATCAAGACATCACAGCTTCTTGTATCCTCGGTTTAGGAGCTTTAAAGTCTCTCGGTTTAAATCCAATCGTGACAGAAATGAAGTTATATTCGTTTAGAAACTAAACTTGTTACTTTCTTTGCAACAATCCGAACAGCCAAGCAAAAGAATTTGGCAGCCATTCTTGCTTGGCACATTGTCTGGATTTATTTAGCAAAATTTGTGGGCAAATATTTTCTTCTTAATTGGATTCGTTGGTTAAAATCTTAAGTTCAATTAAAAACAATTCCCAAATCGATTTCAAAAACAACTCAAATTAAAAATTCAATCATTAAATCTTAAAAAAAAATTCCCAAATCAAAAATATATTTTATTCATTCTTCAATAATATAACAAGGAAAATTTCAATATCTATCTCATTCTTTCAAAGGATCTATACCTGATCACGTATCATTAAATTTTCTTTGTCTAGAAGATGCAGTTTTTTTATTAACCAAAATTTTTAATAAAAAAAAAAAAATTTTAAACAAACCAATTTTATTTATTTATTTTTTTAATGTTTTTTTTTAGTATTTTTTTTATTTTTTTTTAGTTTAGTTTTTTCAAAGTTATTTTTTATGAGTTTTCTAAAAAATATTTTTTTTATTAAATTTTTTAATAAATTTTTTTTTTTTTCTTAAATTTAAAATTTCATTATTTTTTTTAAAATAAAAATGGATACACAAAGTCGTAAAGCAGTTTTTTTAGATTGTGACCCAGGTCATGATGATGCTTTTGCAATCCTTTTAGTAAGTATATAATTGATTTAAATTTAAAATTTAAATTTAAATTAAAATTAAAATTAAAATTTTTATTATTAGGCATGTTACACAGAAATGTTTACAGTTTTGGGTATTTCTACCATTGGTGGTAATCAAACTGTTGAAAAAACAACAAACAATGCATTAAGAATTTTAGAATTAATTGGTAAATCAAATAGTACAATTAGTGTAGTTAAAGGTGTTTTACAACCATTAGCTCGTCCACCAATGGTATGTCCTGAAATTCATGGTGATACAGGTCTTGATTTAAGACCAGGTTGCACTCTTAAAGTACCAGATGCTACCCAACAACCAATTACAGACAAACCAGCAATTCAATTCATGTGGGAATCGATCAGCAAATACTATAATGAAAATAATGGTGAAAAAGTTACAATTGTAGCTACAGGTCCATTAACAAATGTTGCTTTATTATTCCTTGTTTATCCCCAAGTTAAACCTATGGTCGACGTTTCTATTTTGGGCGGTTCGATAAACTTTGGTAATATTTCACCAGCTAGCGAAGTAAGTTACTCTTTAATATTATTGAGAAAAAATAATTTTTTAACACTTTTTTTATTGACAACAGTATAATATTTTAGTTGATCCAGAGGGAGCCAAAGTTGTATTTGAAAGCGGTGTACCAATTACTATGGTACCTTTAGATGTTTCTCATATGGCATTAGTAAATAAGGAAGTTATTGATCGTATTGCTGCACTCAAAAAAGAAGGCGACACAAATCAATTTATTGACATCATCATAGAATTATTATTGTATTTCTCGGATAATTATAAATTAATTTTTGATTTCGAACATCCACCATTACACGATCCATTGGCTGTTGCCTATTTAATCGATCCAAGTATTTTCACATCTAGATTATTAAGAGTAGATGTAGAAACTTCAAGTAATCTTTGTTTAGGCAGAACCGTTGTCGATTTATTCAATTTCTCAAAATTAGAAAAAAACGTAAATGTATGCACCAATATTAAAATAGAAAAATTCTGGGACATGCTCATTCATGCAATCGATAACTGTTACAATAATTTAAGAAATAAAAAATAAACTATTTATAGAAAATAATTTTTATAAAAATCTAAAAAAGTTTATTTTTTTTTTATTTTGATATTTAAAATTTACTTTATGTGGCTTATGGTATTTATAATCATTCTATCATCCATTAACCAATCATTTTCATCGTATGAACCTATTGATTTTAATAATTCTTTAGTTTTATTTGACATTTTAAAATCTTTTTCAACATAAATATTTGAAGGAAAACTTCTGTGGAATAAGTTGTATTTAATGCATGATGGATGCTTTGATTTTGATACTAATTCTTTCCATTTTTCGAATTCTATTTTTTCGCAATTATAATGTTTCTCTAATAAATTATAAATATATGTTGCTTCAATTGAATTGCCATATAAACTATAAATTGAATTTGAATTGTTTTGATTTAACCAGCTTTTTTCATTAAATATTATATTGATGATGTTTTTTGATAATACTGTTATCGGTGAAAGATATGCATAGTTATATAAACTTGGATAGTAGCCAATAATACCAGATGCTTGGGCTGCTAGTTGGAAAATATCGGTTGGATGACCAATACCAGTTTCAGGATTTGACCATATATCTGGTAAACGAAGAACGATTGATGGGATACCTCTTGACTTTTCAGCATGTGTTAATAAACATTCTGATACTATTTTTGACTGAATATACCCAACTGAAATATTATCAAATCTTGGCAATATTTTATTTTCATCGAATTCTTCTCCATTTAGAGATTGGTTGAAAAAGACAGAGTATGACGAAAAATGAACAATAAGTTTTTGTGTTTTGTTTGAGACTGACAGTTTTATAATATCTTTAAGAGAATTGGAATTGATAGCTTTGCTTTCTTGATAGTTTGATAGTAGATTTAAATATGCTGCTGAATTAATTATAATATCAACTTCATTTGAAATGAGTGTATAGTTTTCATTGGAAAGACCTAGCTTTTCTTTTGAAATATCACCTATAACTATAATAATCTTTGATAGTTGTTGTTGTGTAATAGAGTCATATAGTTGATGGTGTTTTAGTTTGTTTACAATTTCGTCCATAGGATTGGGTAAGTTTGTTTTATTTCTTATTAGGCAATACACTTTTGAACAACTTTCCATTTTAACTAAATGACTTAATAAATATGAACCTAAGAATCCATTTGAACCTGTTAATAGGATTGACTTGTTGTTATTATTATTTAAAATTGATTTTAAAGAATAAGGTTTTGAAACTATAGAGTCTTCTAGTTTAATTTCTTCTTTAATAAAATCTTCGCTTGTTATTTTAGTATTATTTTCTTTATTAGAATTTGTCATGGATTTGTTTTTATAACCTTTGGTAATAATTTCGAGTGATTGTGATATTTTATTATTTTGTAATTGTTGGATTGTAATTAAATTGGTTCCAAATTGATTATCTAGCCAGTTCTTTAATTGAACAATAACTAAACTATCGAGGCCATACTGGGTTAATTGAAATTCCAAGTTGATTTTCGATTCATCAATTGATAATAGTTCTGAAATTTTATTTATGATTTTGGATTTTATACTATCGCTACTACAATTATCATTTTTTGATTTTTTTGATCTTCTAATTATATTGATTTCATAGTCAAACTTGAAAAGATTATGGTTTGAGTTTAATAGATCTTTATGTTTGAAGTTTGTGAAGCAATAGTTTGGATGTTTGTTTTTATCTTGAATGAAAAGGTCAAGTGAACTTAATATTAATTGAGGGGAAATAAAAACTGAAACTAAAGATTTTAACATCATCTCGACTGCTTCGTTTCTTGAAACAAAACCAGTTGATGCTATTGCACCTAAATTAATGGATATGGATGGTAGTCCAATTGATTTTCTGTATTTTGATAATGAATCAATTACACTACAAGCACTGACATAACAACATTGTCTTTCTGAACCTATAACTGATACCGCTGAAGATGCCATTATAAATTGTTTTACTTTCCATGAACGTTGAATTGATTCATTGTGTAAATTAACTGCGCCAATTGTTTTTGCACCATGTGTAATATTTAAACGATTCATATCGACATCCTTAAGATCACCAATATCATTTACAAATGCAAAGTGAATTACTGTATCAATATTTGTAATGTTTGAATTTAATTCTAGGTCATTTAATACTTTTTGAATTTCGTTACAATTTTCGATATCGATTTGATTAAAGTGGAAGTTAATTGAATTGTCTTTTTGATGTTTAGTTTGATTGATTAATAGTTCTAATTCCCATTTTAATGGTGATTTTGTCAAGATAATTATATTTTCGATTGATTTGTTTGAATATTTAACCAGCCATTGTAATATTTCTAATATAATACCAGTTTGACCTGTTACCAATATATTTTTGCCCATATTTAATCTTGATATATCGTAGCTATTCTTCATAATAATTGTGTCATTTTGTTTTTGTTCATTAAATACTTTTGATATCATATCATTGTCATGATTTACAACGATTTTACCAATATGTTGTCTTTTATTAACATATTCAATTGCATCTTTAAATTGACTGTTTGAATATTCAGTAATTGGAACAAGCTCTAATTTGTTTAAATTAAACATTTTGATTATTTTTTTTAAATAAGATTTGAATAATGAGGTTGAAAATTTTACTAGTTCTACATTATTATATCCATAGTTGTATTTAAAGTGATTGTTTGTCATATAGTCATTTGGTGTTAAATGTGTAATTGAAAGATCGACAATTCTACCACAAGTATTTAGACATTGAAAGTTTGAGTCCATATATTCTGATGATAATGTATTTAATATTAAATCTACACCTTGATGGTGTTCATCACATTCTAATTCTATTAATTTGTTTTTAATTTGGTGAACATAGTTTTTATTTCTTGATGAATAGATACCAGTAATAAATGAGCCATATTTGTCCATTAAATATTGTTCTTTCTCTTTTGAGCCAACAGTTAAAAATATATAACCTTTGTGTTCTTTACATTTTAATAGTTCTAATGATGAAAGACCTACACCACCTGTTGCTGAGTGAATTAAAATAGTTTGATCTGGTTGTAAATTTCCCATATAGAAAATACTATGTAGTGTTGTAACATAAACTGATGGAATAGATGCTGCTTGGACATGGCTCATACTTTTTGGTTTGAAACATACATATTTATGATCTATTATAATATGTGACCCACTAGATTTTGAAGCTGTACCAAACACTTCATCACCTACTTTTAATTTCTTTACAATATCCCCACAACGAGTAACAATACCACTAAAGTCATTACCGATATTTGGATATTGATTTAATCCATTTTCAAACTCCTCGTCTTTGCTGAATTTAGGATCAAGATTAATTGGTACTTGACCAATATACATTAAATAGTCTTTATAGTTGATGCCAGAACCTTTAATTTCGATTTCGATTTCATTTGGTTTTAGTTCTTTTTTAGTTGTTAATACATATTCTAAATTTTGATCAAGATGAATCATTAAGTTGTCTTTATTTGTTTCGAACGAATTTGATGTAAATGATTGTTTAATTTTGGGTTTTTTGTATCTTTCAAAATATACTGTGTTGTTTTTAATTGTAAACTCTCTATGGTTATTTGTTGTTGAGTTTATTAATATATCAATGATTGATAATACATTTTCATTTTGAATTGAAATAGTATCGAAATCTAATGAATATAAAACTAACTGAGGGAATTCTACTAAATATCTTGAGCAGCCATTGAGTGATGATGACAAATAGTTATTTGATGTTGAGTTTGATAAAATTAAAACATGTTTAAAATGACTTTCAATTTGAAGTTGAAGTAAAAGCTGATTGATTTGAATATATTCAAACGTTATTTCTTTAAAGTTGGTTATATCTAATGGATCTATTGCTTTCAAAAAAACGATTAGTGTTTTACTTTGTTTAATTGAATCGATTGATTCTTGAATCCAAGTATTAAATTCATTGAAGGAATCCATTTTTTTTATTTTTGAATTAAATAGTGTATTTGATTTAAATGATTCGTTAATATTTGACCCATTTTTACTACTTCCAAACAACACAATATTATCATATGAAGATAATTCTTTCATTGATTCCTTATTTAATAATACTGTTTCGTTTATATTTGGTTTTCTTGTTTGTATTAAAAAGATTGATTTGTCATTTCCATACATTGTTGTGTCTTTAAAGTTGCATTCATTTAGTATTTTGAACCAACTTTCTTGTTTCAAACAGTTTCTATCATTTCTGATTTCAATATCTTCTTTTGATGGCCACCATTGTGGGAATACACCGAAGAGTGAATCAATAAATAATGATTTAAATGGTGCCTCTACGAAAAGTAATTGACCATTTGGTGTTATAATATTGTATATTTCATTTAAACTAAATTTAATTTGTTTTGAGACATGCAATACATACGACATTATAACCATATCATAATAGGATGGTCTTAAATCTTGTTCTTTTAATGGCTTGTCTAAATCTAGAACACGATAAATTATATTTACACCTTTGATGTTTGAAAGCTTTTCTTTGATATCTGAAAAAAATGATGCGGAAATATCACTCCATGTAAATTCTATATCAATATTTGATGATGGATTGTCGTTTAATAGTTGGTTGATTCTATCTAATACTAATATTGTTAATGAGCCTACACCACCTCCAAATTCTATTATTCTAAATACTATTGGTTCATTAATAGTTGCTTTAATTGGTTCAGCAACAAAGTAACCCAACAAATCATTTAATCGACTAATAGGTTTTAAATTTTTGTAAAAGTTATCTAATAGTCCATCTTCAAACAATGATTGAGCATTATCTGTATTAGGATCGTCATCTTCTAAAGGGAATATTTGTTTTGACATTACTTTGGTTGCTATTTCGAAAATTCTAACATTTTTATCATCGCTGTATGTGAGTTGGTTTATTTGTTCTTTGGTATCTAAAGTATTATATTTTTTTAAAACTTCAAATAAAAAGAAAAATTGGTTTTCATTTACTGATTCATTATAATAGAGTTGTTTAAACTGGCTAAATTCCATTGTTGGTATTGTTTCATTGTTGATATTTGGACGTCTTTGATTAATATGGTAGTAAAATACTGATAATAGGTATTCTTTTGAAATAAAATATTCATCAATTATTCTTCCATTGGTTTGATATAAATGACTGAGTTCTTGTGGTTTTTCGATTAGTGAATCTTTTGATTGTTGATATGGTATATAGATTTCGTTTGATGGTGGTGGAGTAATTAATGTATTGTCGATTATTGGTGTGATTGATGTGCAAATTATATTTGCAATTTCAATTAATAATGTGCCATCCTTTAGCATTATTTTAATTGATCCAGAGTATGAGTATAAGCTAATTCTTGATTTCATTTCGGAATATACATATATTTCAGAATGTTCATTTGATGGTGGTATGTTGGATGAATAGTATTTTAATCCTTCGACACTATCTAATACAATTTGGCATTGGTGTTTAATAAAACCTAACAACCCATGTAAGCATGTATCTAATATAGCAGCATTAAAAAATGATGTCATGGTATCATTTTTAAGTAAATGATTAAATTCATTTTGATTTTGAATTTCATTTAATGATACAACCGATAGAGAACAGTTTTTACCAACATAGCATTCTTTAACACCTTGGAATAAACCTTTATATGTTAATCCAGTTTTGATTCTAATTGATTCGTAGAGTTCTTGTTTTGATATCTTGGTAAAATTGCATTTATTTTTTAATTCTTCAATGTTGATTTGATTTATTTCGCCACCATGTTTAAATAGACTAAAGTTTGAAGTTGAACATAATACCCATTGGTTTGAAATTGAATCTTTAAAGTGAGATTTGGCATTGAATTCATTTTTTGAAAGTGTATTAATTGTAGTTTGTAGACATTGGTCAACACCGTCTTGTAATACTAATGGTGTTTTAAATTCGATTGAGCCGATTGTAATGTCTTGATTTGGATATATATTGAATAAATTGGTGATATATCCACATCCTGGAAAATAGTATTTTCCCTTTACCTGATGTCCTTTTAGCCATTGAAATGGTAACTTTTTAGTATCGATAAATGCTTGATATGATTTAGATGGGGATTCATTTGAATTGCCAAGATGTTGAATTGAAGGTCCTTCTTTTCTAATCTTTTCATATGCTGAGTTTTGTTTGAAATACATTTTATCATCCCATTGATACAATGGCAGATCGTTTGATTGTTTATAAATACCATTGTTATTATTTTGATTTAATTGTGATTTGAAATTAATATTAAATGAATGGTTTGTATAAAGTGTTGAAATTGTTTTTAAGAATTCATCATGGTCATTTTTCTTTTTGTGAAGTGGTGAAAATATGGCAACTCCTTCACCATTTTCAAAATATGGTGATTGTTGTGATTTCATTTGATTTAAATAGAATGATAATGCTGAATGTGGCGCAACTTCAATAAAAGTGATTTGATTACCATAGTTGTTTTCTTCAATATATTTATATATGTTTGAAATGGTTTGTGCGAATCTAACTGGTTGTAGAACATTTTCGAAAACATATTCTGCATTGAATGGTGTTGTTTCGTGATTTAATAAGTTGGTTGTAACTGTTGAGAATATAGGTGTTGTTGATTGTTTTGATTTAAAATTTAACGAAAGAAGTTCATCTTTGATTGCTAACTGACTTGATGTATGGAATGATGATGGTGATCCCAACATTGCACAAAATACCTCTTTTGATTTTAGTTCAGTAGTAATTTCGTTTAAAATATTTTCTTTACCAGAGATTACAATTGATGATGGTGAATTGTAACATGAAATCTCTAATGATGGATATTTTGATGAATAATCTTTTAAATACTCTTCGGCACCTATGTTTATCGATAACATTTTACCACAACCATTTGTTCTATTTTGTGCTACAGATCTGTGATATGTTACATAACATAAAGTTTCGAAATCAATGATTCCAGAGCAATGAGATGCCACAATTTCACCAAGAGAATGTCCAGTAACTATATCTGCTTTGATACCCCAATGTTTATAAAGTTCGAATAATGATACTTGAATCATTACATTTGATGGTTGTGCAAGAATTGGTTCATGAATTGATATGGTATCTTTGTCATCAATTGATCTTAACTTTTTTAAAACAGAGTACCCATAATATTTGAATAGTTCAGTATCGAACTTATCTACTGATTGTTTGAAAATTGGTTCATTTTCGTATAGTTCCATTGCCATTTTATTATATTGTGGGCCTTGACCGCAAAATACAAAAACTGTAAAGGGTTTGTTATTTTTAACTGTAATGTTTGAAATGGTGTTTATATTAGATGATCTAATTTCATTTTTTGAATCTTTAAACTCTTCCCAATTACTTGCAATAATAACTGATCTTTGAACAAGTGATGTTGGTTTATTTTTAATTTGATTATTTGCAAATTCATTAAAAGACACATTTTCTGAATGATCGTTGATAATTTGTTTATATTTATCTAAGGATGTTGATGAGTTTGACGAGAATGGAATTAAATACTTTTTAATTGCAGTGTTTTCATTTTGAATATTATCTTGTTTGTATTCCGATAAAATGAGACAACAATTCGATCCTAACAATTAAAAAATGAAAAAAATTTAATATATTTGAAATGTTTATATTTTTTAAAATCTAAACTTACCAGTTATACCAAAGTTATTAACAGCCATAGTAATATTTTTGTTACTACAAAAGGGTGTTGGTTCAGTTACTACTTTTAGACGCCATTCATCGAACTTGATATCTGGATTTGGTGATTTAAAGTTGATATTTTGAACAAATGATTTGTTTTTAAACATAACACAACATTTGATTAATGATAGTACACCTGATGATGCTTCACCATGGCCAATATTTGATTTAATAGAACCAATTAGAACTTGTTTATTTGTATCTTTGAATACTCTTGAAATACCCTCTAACTCTATTGGATCTCCAGTTGGTGTACCAGTACCATGACATTCAATATAATCGATATCCGAAGCATTGATTTGGCCATCAGTAGATTCAATTGCAGATTTAATATTTTCATATTGAGATGACTTTGATGGCTGATAAAAGTTTGCTTTATCATAACTACCATCAACATTTGAACTTGAACCTTTGATAACACAATAAATATTATTACCATCTTTAATTGCTTGTCGTAAATTCTTTAATACAATTATACCAACACACTCAGAACGTACAAAGCCATCAGCCTCTGAGGAAAATGAGTAACACTTTCCAGTTGGACTTAACATTGATAGATGGGAAAATGATTTTGATATATTTGGGTCTAATATAAAAAAATTTTAAAAATATTAATATAATGAAAACTTTTTAAACAAAAATAAAAATCTTTTATTAAACAATACATACCAAGTATAAAGTTAACACCACCTACAACCGAGACATCAGATAGACCTCCTTTTATAGATTTGTAACCAAAATTAATTGCATTTAATGACGAGCTGCATGCAGTATCGATTGTAATTGACTCACCACGAAAATCGAAACAGTATGATATTCTATTAGCTACTGAGTGAATTGATGCACCAAAAATATTTTTTTGAGTTTCAAATGGAGATCTATTGACACTATCATAATCGGAAGTTGAGGAACCTATAAAAGTACTTGTTTTTGAACCTCTTAATGTTGATGGATCTATACCAGCATCTTCGAGTGCTTCCCATGTGCACTTTAATAGCAATCTTTGTTGTGGATCGATTGTGTTGACATGTTCATCACTTGGATGGATACCAAAGAAAACAGGATCAAAAGACTTCCATTCTTCAAGCGGAATGAGACCAGCGTATTTGGAAACGATATCACCAGCGGCATGATAGTTATCAGACCATCTATCAGATGTTTCTACAACACCATCAAAACCACTTATTAAACTATCCCACAGTTGTTTTGTATTTGAAATTGATTTTGATAAACTACCACTTGGAGCTCTAAAACCTATACCAATAACTGCTACTTCTAAATTATTTATATTATTTATATTATTTATTGAAATCATTATAATATTTATTTAATAATAAAATAAAAAAATAAAAAAAAAAAAAAAAAAAGTTGATTTTAATATTTTGTTTTTAAAACAGTTAGATATTAAAAATAATATTTACATAATGATATTTATCTTTTTGTAACCTTTAAAAGAAGATTCTTTTAATTGTCTGTTGGAGAAACTTTCGAAATTCTATTAAACCCCTTTTTTTAACTGCCCCAAAAAAATACCCATTCATTTAATAAGAAAATTAATTATTTTAATTGATTTTAAAACAGATAAATAAAAATTAGTGCCAAAATAAATAAAAATATTAAAAATATTAAAAAAACACCGTTTTTCACAATGTGCAAATGTAAAAAACACCATTTTTTACATTGTGTAAATGAGGGGGTTTTTTTTTAATTTATTTTTTTTAATGATTTAAATTTTTAAAATAGTGGTTTTATTATAATATTGCTTGCAATAATAACTTTTTGTTGTTGTTAATTCGATAGATTTTTCCAATACTTTTTTATATAAAATAACAATATTCAAATAAGGGCAACAAACAAGGTGACATAAAAAAATAACAAAAAAATTGGTTTTAAATTATTGGTTTAACTAAATAATACAAAACTGATAATAATTATATTATGATTTGTCGAACTATAATTTATATCTCGAGATTATAATCTTGTGGCAAAGTTAGTAAAATTTAAAAAAAATATATTTTTTTTTAAAAACTCACTCCACCAAACAAAATTTTAAAAAACTAAATGGTGATATCAAATTGAATAAAAATTTCGAGATTAAATCTTAGGGTATTTAATTAATTAATATGTGAATATATTTTTATTTGTTAAGTGTTGTAAAAAAAAACGGTTTTTTTTTTATTGCAATATTGTTTTTTATTTTTTATTGGATGAAAAATTGGCCCAATAAATTAAAATATTTAAAATATTTATATTGTATTTCACACAATTAAGATTATTTATTGTGACAAATTTTGAAGATAAAAAAAAAATAAAAAAAAAAAAAAAATAAAAAAAAAATTCAAAATTTTAATTATTTTTTTTTAAAAAAATATTAAAATTCGCGCAATTAATCTCAAAAATAATAGAACAATATAACACACATACACTTCACAAAAAAAAATGACAAAAGATGATGAAATGAAAGAAATAGATAATAAAGAAGATGAAATTGAGGATGAAGTTGAAGAAGAGGAAGAAGATAAAGAAGAAGAATTAGAAGATGAGGTTGAAGAAGAAGATGAAGATAAAGAAGAGGATAAAGAGGAGGATAAAGATACTAAAGATATAGGTGACTCAACAGCAACCACAGCAAATACTGCAGATAAAAAGAAAAAGGTTTCAAGAAGTGCAAGATCACATGATACCCAATTACCAATCGCTAGAATTAAAAGAATAATGAAAAATGATAAAGATGTAAAACTTATTTCGTCAGATGCCTTAATGTTAGTTACTAAATCAACAGTATGTGATTATTAACAATATTAGTAATAAATATTTATATTAATTTCAATTATTATTAAATTACTAAAATTATTTTATTGTATTTATTACCTCAGGAGCTATTTTTAGATTATTTTTGTAAAGAAGCTTATAAAAAGACAAAGAGTCAAGGTAGAAAAATTTTATCATACAAAGATATTTCATCAGCAATTAAAGATATCGAAAATTTAACATTTTTAACAGAAATTGTACCCGAAAAAATCACAATGAATTAATGTTAAATATAAAAGTTATAGAAATAAAATTATTTTTAAAAAAAAAAAAAAGAAATAAAGAATGTTGTAATAAATATTTTGTTTTTTATTGTTTTTTTCTATTGTTTAAATTTAATTTGTTTTGGTTTACATATCCCAATCGCTATCATCATCGTCGTCATTGTCCTCTCCTAAATGACCTCTTCTTTGGGCCATTGCAGCTGCTAAAGTATCTACTAATGATCTATTACCAGACTCACCTAATTGTAGTTCTTTAAGATCTGGTAATGGTTCTGATGGGTCTACTTTTTTAAGATGGCTTGCACCACCAAAGTTTCTAATACTAGCCAATAAATTCGAACGATCACCAGTTGGGGGTGGTATTCCTCCAGAGCTGGTGGTCGAGGTTGGAGGTGAAGATGTTGTGGATCTTGGAGGTGGTGGAGGTGGTGGAGCTGCAGCAGTGATAGGTTGTGCTGGTTCATTAAGTGAAATTGGAGGAACAGGTGCTGCATTACTAGGTAATGGTGGTAAAGGTGATTTAGGATCGACTGGTTCAGGAACAATTTGAGGAATTGATCCTGTAATTGGTGGGGGTGGAGGTGGCATATTTTCTTCACTAACTGGTTCTTCATATTTCTCTGTAACTGTAACTGCTGGAGTTCTTTGTATAATTGGTGGTTGAACAGTGGTTGGAGGTGATGCGTTATATTGTGTTGTGGGTGTTGTTGCTTTTTGTGGGGGAATTGGTGGTTGTACTGCAGGTCTTTTACTAGTTGGAAGAGGTGGTGGTGATTGTACAGCTTTTCTTTGCTGACCTGGTGTTGGTAGTTTTCTAGTTGGTTTTGCTTGTTGCTGTATTTGCTGTGGTGACTGTTGAGTATATTGCTGGACTGGGGATTGTTTATATTGTTGTGGAGGTTTTTGCTGTGCTGGTTGTGAAGAATAAAAGTTATTATAACCTTGTTGAGCTGATGTTTGATATGTATATTGCTGTGACTCCTGTGTTGGCTTATATTCATATGTTTGACTTCCATCTGGGTTAGAAGTGGTGGTATAATTTTGTGGTTGTTGTGGTTGTTGTGGTTGTTGTGGCTGTTGTGGCTGTTGTGGCATACGTTTTAATGTTGGTTGCAATGGTTCATCCAAAACATATTGAGAGCTGACTTCTTGTTGAATCAAAGGTTCATTGGTTTTATTTTGTTGTTGTGGTGGTTGTCTATTACTTGGAGGAGATACAAAACTTTCACCACCAGGTCTTAACATTGTAACTGGGATTGGTTTACCACCTAATGTTGTTGGTAAATTACCTCTTGTATTTGTTGCTAATGGAACTTGAGGAATAGATGGTCTTGTTTGACCTGGAGGTTGTTGTTGTGCCATCTGTTTACCTGGTTGTGGTGGTAATGGTTTAGAAATTTGTTGTTGATATTGTTTTTGAGGTAATTGTCTTATTTCTGAACCTGGTTTGGGTGGTGGGACTCTTTGAACTGGGGATGCATTAGCACCTGGTGGTGGAGGTGGAGGAGCTCTAGATCTCTGAGATGGTGGTAAAACACCACCTGCAGAACCAGCTAAATTAGTATTAATATTGTTATTTTGACCATTTAAACCCATTTTTTGATCATTTATATTTTGACCTATAACACTATAAATAAACTGAACTGTTTCGGGATTTTTTAATTCTTTTTTCTTTATACCTGCTTGTTGAAAGAGTTGACGCCATTCTGGTGGAATATTTTTAATTTCAAATCCATTATTTTCATCCCAACCGATATGACTTTCATGTTTAAAATCGGTTGGACCTGAAATTTCTACACCTTTAGCTTCATGTTTATGTTTTAACTCTTTTATCTTTGAAAATAACCCATGCTTTTTTTTTCCTAAAATTTAATAAAAATAATTTATATTAATAATTTTTTTCTTTTATATTTCTTCTGTGACTATTTGAATACACATTACTATCTACATCTGCCATTTCTATTATTTCTTTTTTATTTTTTATATAACTTTTTTATTTTTTAATTTTAATAATAATAAATCATATTTAATAATAAAATTGTAATATAATTTATTTAATAAAATAATTCTATGTAATTTATTATTATTTAATTATTATTATAATAAAAACTAAATATTAATATACTTTATAAAATCTTAAAAAAAATTATTTTTTAAATAATTAATTTTTTATTATAATTTGAAATAAATTTTATATTTTTTAAAATTTAAATTAATTTATTTTATTTAATTAAAAAAAAATATTTAAAAAAAAAATATTAAAAAAAATAATTTCTTGTTTAAGAAAAATATCTTTAAAAAGATTCGTATATACACATTTTTGTTTTTTAAAAAAAAATATTTTAAAAATATTTTTTTTTAATTTCCTTTTAATTAATATTTATAGATAGAGTTTAATAGTGTTTAGTGGGTGAATGGAATGAATATAAATATATATGTGTGTTTGCTGCTGTAATTACCACACTACACACCCCCCACTCTATGAAATGTTTTTTTAAAAATTATTTATTTTTTTTATATGATAAAAAAAAATAAAAGGATTATTACCAAAATAAATAATTATTAATATAATGAACAAATAATTTAGATATAAATAAATAAATTAAATTTTTATAATAAATATAGACTTTATTTTATAATACAATTATGATTTATGCTTTTTCTTTTCTTGGCATATATAAATCGTCTTTATTTTTTCTTGATAGCGATTTCAATGAATATGTATATTTGTTTTTGGCCAATAGAATTTTCGTACGGTTCTTGTTATATAAAACGGCACCAATAATAACGAGAGCGGCTACAGCGACACATGGGACTACAATTGCAACTGGTAATACCCAACTTGCACGCTTATCAGTGCCATCGGAATTACATTTTTTATAAGATGGCGAAACAAGAACTGAAAAATCCGGGTCGATGGTTAATGATGTGGTGAAATGTGGTAAATTAAGACCAATAATAAATGAATCTTTGTTACTACTATTTGTGATTGTGTCTGAGATTATAGATGTTGTTATAAATGATTGTCTTGTGTCACTAAGTACCCTATTTATGAATCTGCCATATAATAATTTTTGATTTTTTGAAATGGTTACATAATTTAATAATTGGTCTTTATCTATTTGTGATGAGTCAATTTCAGTGTTTTGATTATTACATTCGTTATTTGATTGAGAAGATTCCTTATTTTCGCCTACAGATGATACTAGTCTAAGTTGAAGTTTGTTAAGAGCACTTGTAAATGGATAGTTTTCGATAGTTACTGTTATTTTAATTGAATCTTTTTCTAAAGTTAATTCCAAACCTGCAAATTGGTAATCTCTTGATGCCTTTATATCCTCAATAGTATAGATTATTGTGCAATTCTCTTGAATACTCTGTTTAAATTTATAAATATTGTTGCTATTGGTTTCTGCAGAGCCCCAATTATTTGTTAAATTGTGAATAATAACAATATTATCAAAAATATCTATTTCGACCAATGATAAGATTGAGATTTCATATGAGGTTTGTTGATTAGAAATAACTGCTGATCCAACTGTTTCGTTGATTGTTGTATTTGATTTAGGAATTTCGATTGGTGAAGGTGTTGGTGAAGGTGTTTCATAACTACCTCCGCTAGTTGTGGTTGTTGTGGAGCCTCCTGTTGTAGATGTATCAGATGATGTTTTTGAATTGCAATCATAACCGCCCCATCCGCTAAAACATTTACACTGGCCTGTTGTTTTTATACACTGACCATTTGATGAACAGTTTTTGGGACATTTAAAGGTTATTTCATCGAAATGGAACATATTTTGGCCTACCCATGTAATTCCATTTTGGGAAATTGTAATTGATTGTGTACCTGAACCTGAGCCAATAGTACAGTTTGAGAAAGTACTATTAACGAAATGGTAAGGACAATCTGAGCTACCTATTTTAACATTAAAGTTACTATTGGTCTCACCGAACCAACCATATAAATTTACTAAACCACCTTCGGTTGTGGTGGATGAAGCAGATGATAAGAACTGGGTAATAGTTTTGCATTGATCACCGCCATACTTTGGTGTTAAACAAATGCACATACCTGTACTACTTGAACATTTACCTAGCCCCGAGTCACTTCCACAATCTGATGTACATGTAAGAATATTTGTTGTTTTATCATCGACTGTATTAATTGTAAATTTAATAATTTCATTCAAATTGACATTTTGTATTGTCCCAGAAATATCTTGACCCAATGGCAATGGAGAATTGAATTCAAATTCAATTTTATTAAAATCTATATAGTTAATTGTAGCTGGAACACCAGAAACAAAGATTTTGAAATCACTTTTAACATAAGAGAAATTAATTCCGGCAAATGTATACTTTTTGCCAAGTTTTGTAATAGTTTGAATTTTTGGTGTTAATACTTTAGTTGCAACAGTGAGTTCGTGAAAACCAAAATTAATTTGAAGAGTATCTGGTAAAACACCTAAACTATCTGGATCCCACTCAAAATAATATGAACTTTGTGGTACCTCGACAGTGAACTGTTTACTGCTATCTTTGAGAACTGGTCCATAGAATCCGAGATTTTTACCTGTTAACTTTAAAATCTTACTAACTTGATTATATTCTAAAATATTTGGTACAATAGATCCAGGTTCTATTAAAGTTTTAAAAATAAAATAAACTAATTAATAAAAGAGTTTTAATTTTTCATTTAATTTTTTAAAATGAAATACTTACCACAAGTTCCTTGAATTAATTTTGGGTTATTGTCAAAACATTCATCATATTCTTCTTTATAACACACTGCCCATTGAGGCCAATAACCACTGATATCATTTTCACCTAAATATACCCGATATTTACCATATGATTCTGGTATCGTTGAAGTATAACCACATTTAACTAAATATAAATCATAGAGAGCACTATACACTGAAAGATCTGGTAATGAAACTGGACCATTTATTGCAAAATTATTACCACTTAATAGTCTATATTTTTAAATAATTGTAAGTAAAAATAAAACATGATTTATATATATATAATAAACTTACAATCTTTCAATACCTACTGGTAGATAAAATGGAAAATTTTTTAAACCCAAGTTACCAACAGATAATGCTTTTAGTGTATTTGGATATGCACCAAAGGGTAGGTCTCCATCTATATTGAAATCGGGCGAATTTGAAATTGACAAAGATTGGATTTGTGAAGGAAGGGTTAGTCGTAAGGATGGTGCTTTTAATAGACCAGCTCGTGAACCATCAATTGTACCTCCTAATGTTAATTCTTTTATTCCGCTAACGGCCAATGATGTAGGATAAAAAATATCTTCATCAAAAAATAGATTCAAAGAATCAATAGACTGGTAAGTATTAAAATTACCCAATGATGTAGCGGATCCTGCATTCACTAACTGTAAGTATGCATTTGTACATTTAATATTAGAAAGAGATGGCACCATATTTGCTGTTATAAATCTTTTATAAAAAAAATTTAATATTTAATTTTTTCAAGATAATTAAATAACTAAACTTTTGTACCTACAATGTCGTAAAAGAAATAGTAGTGGAATCAAAAGGATCAATGGTGTTTTCTATTGGTGGATAATATGTTAATTCATCTGAATATAAAAGCTGACTAAATTTTGAAATAATGTTAATATTTAGAGGGAAAAATAATTAATTAATTAATTATTATATGCTTACAAATAATCTAAATTTTTGATCTCTCTCAAATCAATTGAAAGTAAATTTGAATTATCATTAATTGTCATTTTAATTAACTCTGTAGTTAGTGAAACTGAATTTGATACAGATGATATTCTACCATCAACAAAAGTGTCATTATATAAATACAATCTTTTGGCAACATTTTTTTCATTAAATTTTCCAAATGCATCTGAATTTATTCTAATATTTGTTAACTCTAGCTCTGATAATTGTTGGAAACAATTTAAATTGCTATAAGCCACTGATGGCCCCGTTATACCATTTGAAAACTTTAATCTTATAAACCTTTATTTTGCAAAATAAAAAATTAATTAATTTTTATAAAATTTAAAAAATACAATAAAATATCGGTGTAATACAATTGTGATAAATTAACGCCATCTAGACAGTAAGATTGATAACTATAACTTCCTTTATCTATTAGAGTGTTTGCAGTGCATAATATTGTTGTCTCTATGATGGGAGTTTGAAAAAGGTGGAAAAATAAAAGCGCTAAACAATCTATATCATTAGACTTTACGACACTTTTGCTACAAATAAAAGTTAAAATTATTAATAAAAATAATTTAACTTTCATATTTTAATACAAATTTTGAATTGATGTATTATTTTATTATTGTTGTGGTTATAGAGTATCAGTTTTATGGTTGAATAAAAATAAATATTTTACTAAATTTTCTAAACAAAACATTCTATGCTACCGATATGTTGGGGGCATCACAAAAATGATAAATTTTAAAATTTAAAAAAAAATAAAAATAAAAATAAAAAAAAAATAAAAATTTTGATAACCAACTTTTTTAGATATTTTCTTTGAAAGTATTAAAATCACCAATTTGAAAATATTTTTGATTTTTTTCTCATATGTGATCCTCATTAATGATCAAAAATAATAAATACCAAAATTCGGCAAAAATGTGGTACTGCATAAATTGAACTTAAATTATTATGATAATTGAAAAATTAATAATATTATTATATTATAGATTTTGAATTATTTTTTAGGTTTTATGAATAATTTTTTAATCTTTATTTTACACTTTTTTGAAAATATTTTTAATTTTTCATTTTTTATATTTAATAAAAAAAAAAAATATAAAAATGTCAAAAGAATATATTTATAATAAAGAGTAAAAAGAATGGGTTTGGTTTTTGTTTTTATTACTATAATTGAAATACCAATGATAAATTATTTTTAATTTATAAAATGGTTTTCTAAAATACCACACCCCACACATTCACTTTTGAAATGTATAATGAATAATTAGAGTGTAGAGTATTAGATGCAAGATTCAATATTATAATAAATATAAAATATTATATTAAAACATTTAGATATAACAGCACTATCGTTTAAATAATATCATTAGTGTTTTAAAAAATTACCATTTTTGATAAAGTGAACTAAAATTAAATATGCGGCCATCTTGTTTTTTTTTATTTATTTTAATTCAATTTTATTATAATTATTATTTTTAAACACTCTGTCAATATTAAACAATACAATAAAGGTAATTTGTGATATTATCTCAAAACTACAAAAAAAGTATAATATTTATTTAATTGTGTGGGTGTGTTTTTATTTTTTTTTGAAATTTTTTGGATGATATTTAATTTATTTTTTTTGAAATTTTTTTAAAAAAAAAAGGGGTATTTTTTAAATATATTATGCAACCACACATTTCGAATATATTAATATATAAATTTATTGTGTATTCCATTACATATGATGTTAACAACCCTGCAGTATCATATATTTTTTTTTTTTTTTGTTTTTTTTTTAATCTTTATACCTAATATAAAATAAAAATTGTGAAAGAAGTGACATATATATATATAATATTAATGGGTTGTTATGTGAAGGAGTATTAGTGCATAATTAACTATATGTTCAACTTAAAATCATCTTATTTAATTAATATTGGTAAAATATCACCATTAGTTTATTTTATATTTATTTTTAATTTTTTTTTTATTTTTTTTTTTTTTCATTTAAAAATAGTGTAATAAAAATAACATTTATAATAATTGTAGTAATTAAAAAATATACACAATTTTGTATGTCATAAAAAAATTTTATATAAATATACAGATATAAACAATAATATTATTTCTCATATTATTACATATACAAACACACTCACCACTTATACCCCTTTACCACTCTCACTTTAATAAACTCACACATATTTATATTTATATACTTTATGTATATAAATATATAACAAAAATTTTAATTTTAAGACAAAATAATTTAATTGTTTATTTATTTTAATTTTTTTATTATTTTTTTTTGATTTACTATAAATAATAAATTTTTTTTTTTTTTATTAAATTCAAATACAACAATTATTAAATTTCTCTTTAATATATTTTTTTTAAATTTTATTTTGTGTTTTTGTTTATTTTTTTAAAATAAAAAATTAATTATTTTTTTTATCAATATTAAAATCTTATTTAATAATTTTATACTCTCACTTTTACTCAACAAATATTAATTGGTAAATATAATTTATGCACCCTGCTAGCAATTTTTTATAACTAAAAATCAATAATTTTGAATAATATAACATTCCCTTATAAATTATCAAAAATAATAATAAAATAATAAAAGAATATTATAAATTTCAAATAATGAGAGGATCATTAAATAATACCTCATTTTACAAAATAATAGCCCAAAACATTCATAATAATAAATATAAATAAGATTTATCTTTTAATATAAAAATTATAAATTTATTTGAAAAATAAAATTTTTATTTTTTTTAAATTTCAAAATAATTATATTTCTTTTATTATAAATAGTTTTATAAAAATAAACATTTCATTTTTACTAATAAAATATTTTATTTATCTTTTATATATAAAAAATAGTATTTTAAATAATTACGTTTAAAATAATAACAATAATCTTTAGAAAATGAATTCAAATGGTGATTTTAATGATGTAAAATATAAATTTAATGTTAAGGAATATATCGAGCAAGAGGCCAAATTATTACAACAAGATTGGGACACTAATCCAAGATGGAAGGGTATCAAGAGAGACTACACTGCAGAAGATGTTATCCGTCTTAGAGGTTCATTCAAAGAAGAACACTCAATCGCAAAGAAAGGTGCTGAAAAACTTTGGGAATTAATTAATGATCAAAGTAGTTATGTTCCAGCTCTTGGTGCCTTAAGTGGTAACCAAGCAGTTCAAATGGTTCGTGGTGGTTTGAAAGCTATCTATTTAAGTGGTTGGCAAGTAGCTGCCGATAACAATACAAGTGGTCAAATGTATCCAGATCAATCATTATATGCTGTCAATTCAGTACCAGAATTAGTTCGTAGAATTAATAATGCATTAAGAAGACGTGACCAAATCGAATTCTCTGAAGGTAATCTTGAACACCAATATCTTCCAACCCCAATTGTTGCTGATGCTGAAGCTGGTTTTGGTGGTCCATTAAATGCCTATGAACTTATGAAATCAATGATTGAAGCTGGTGCATCTGGTGTCCATTGGGAAGATCAATTAGCTAGTGAAAAGAAATGTGGTCATATGGGTGGTAAAGTTTTAGTTCCAACTTGTCAACATATCAAAAATCTTACTGCTGCTCGTTTAGCTGCTGATGTTATGGGTGTATCTTCAATTATTGTTGCTCGTACCGATTCATTAGGTGCCTCATTATTAACAAGTGATGTTGATCCACGTGATAAGAAATTTGTTACCGGTAAACGTACCGTTGAAGGTTTTTACAACGTTAACAATGGTATTGACCAAGCCATTGAAAGAGCTTTAAGCTATGCACCATATGCTGACTTACTTTGGATGGAAACTTCAACCCCATCGGTTGAATTAGCACAACAATTTGCTGATGCTGTTCATGCTAAATTCCCAGGAAAACTTTTAGCTTACAATTGCTCACCATCATTCCATTGGAAACAACACCTCAAACCAGATGAAATTGCCTCATTCCAACAAAAACTTTCAGATATGGGTTATAAATTCCAATTCATCACCTTGGCCGGTTTCCATGCCCTCAATCTCTCCATGTTTGAACTCGCTAGAGACTACAAGAAGACTGCCATGACTGCTTACGTCAATTTACAAGATAGAGAATTCTCTCTCGAAGGTGAAGGTTACACTGCAACAAGACATCAACGTGAAGTAGGTACAGGTTACTTTGATAAAGTCTCTCAAATCATCTCTGGTGGTCAATCAAGCACTCTTGCTTTGGTAGGTTCGACCGAAGAAGAACAATTTGATGAACACATTGAAAAGAAAAAGAAATTAACCAACAATGACAATGGTTCAAAAGCCAAAGCCAAGAATGCCCAAGTTTAAAATCAATTAATTTTAATTTTTATAAAAAAAAAAATCCATAATTCCACTAAATATTTATAAATAATATTTATTTTTAAAATATACATACAATAAAATTATAAAATAAACTTTTAAAATAAATAAAATTAATATTAACTATTGGTTTTATTAATGTTATTATTACTTTAAAGTTTGTCTAATTTTAAATGTTTTTTTGTTTATATTATCGACTTGAAGAAAAGACATTATAATTTCTGATGAATGTGGCAACCTGTCAAATGTAATTAGAGAAGATGAAACAGTTGAGTGTATTTTTTTTGAATAAATTGAATGATATGGGTTTACAAATATAGCTGAGGTATTGATATGCTCAGTTGGTGATGGAAGCTCATCTTCCTTTTTGTCTATATAAAGTATGTCTAAAATCTTTGATTCTTCATCGCTGGTAAATAATTGATTTAAACTGCCCTCCTCTTCAAATTGGCATGAGTGTGGGTCGCTATGTTCCTGCAAGCTATGAGCTTTCTTTTCGAATATTTCTTTTAAAGTATCGCTTAGTCTTTGTTTACCTTTGGTGACCTTGGGGGTATTCCATTCCAGAGGATAGTTTGATATACCAAATACAGTGTCTCTTTCTATGGCCTTCAAATAACTTGGGTATGTCTTTACATTCAATTCTTTATTATACAACTCTTTTGGTGGTAATAAGTGGCTTAGAAGGCAATAATACTTTTCATTTGAGTTTATAATATCACCAACAATTAATATGAATGGATGATATTGGTGTCTGTTTTTTTCCATTAATGAAATATAGTCGAATGGTGATATTTTTGACGATAAATAGTTATGCACAATTTTACCCCTACTTAGTTTGCCGCTTCCTGAGCTTGAGTCGTGAAAATTCTTATTATACAGATTTAAAATAATACAAAACTTGCCCCTGTTATTGACACCTAACCATGTACCACCACCGATTTTATCTTTGCCCCCATATATCCTAATATCTTCATCTTTTGAATAATAATCTTTGCTATTATTTGAAATATAATCATTATCTCTAAATTCTTCTATTTCGTTTTTTTTCAATACCCATTCTGATAATGGTATGGTTGGTCTTTCACAAACCTCGTCTCTATTATTTAAAATTATTAGGGGGTGTTTTTCATTTTGATAAAAACTAATAAATACTATACACATTATACTATTTTTATATTTAATAATTTATTATTATTATAATTATTATTATTTAATTACATTTACAGTTTATTATTATTATTATAATTATAATTTTATTATTTATAAAAGTAAAAAGGAAAAAGTTAAACTGACCAAATAAAATGAATTTAAAAAAAAAAAAAAAAAAAAATATTTTTATTTTTTTAAAATATTTTATTTTTTTTTATTTTTTTATAATTTTATTTTTTGTTTTTTTCTTTTAATTATTATATTAATCGTTTTTTCAAATTATCTATAATCTATTTATTAGTTATTTATTATTAATATTTTTGTTTAGGGAACTAATTTTCCTATTTTATTAATTTCATCAATAGGCAAATAAAAAAGGGTAATTATTTTATAATGTGGTTTTGCTTTGTTGTTTTTTATCCCTCCCATTTATTTTTATTTTTTTTTATAAATTTTTTTTTTTTGATTTTTTTATTTTATTATTTATATTTTTTTTAAAAAATTCTTTAAAAAAGTATGTGTGTTTGTATTTATTACTGTGTGTGCAAAAGAATGTGTGTTATATAGACAATAAATAGATAATTTTTTTTTTTTTTTAAAATATTATTATTTTTTATTAATTTTTTCATTTATTTTATTTTTTTAATATTTGATTTAATAAACATTTTTTTGTTTTTATTTTTACTTTGATATTATATTTTTAAACAAAATACATTTCATTACTAACCAATATCCTCATTATTAGTGTTTTCAGAATTTTAAAATCAAATATAACCATTGCAACTTTTAATTATTATTATCAAATACATATATATTAAAATATGAAATATAAAATAAATAATCTATGTAATATAGTTTTTATAATAATAATAATTTTTAGTATACTGACAAACCCGATTAAATCAAACGAAATAAATAGTAATAGTAACACTAATAACAATAATAACAATAATAACAATAATAACAATATTAATAATAATAACAACAACAATAATAATATCAAGATGAATGAACTATCTCCAATACATATCCATTTAGCATTAACAAATAAAAATGATGAAATGATGGTATCTTGGATAACAAAAGGCAAAATTAACCAACCAATAGTTTATATATTTAAAGGCGATTGCAGCGTAGTTTTAAATTCAAATAAAGAAAATTTTAAGGAACTATTAAATAACGATTTCAACATATCAATAGGAAAAACAAACACATATAATAATTTTGAAGGCTATATACATAATGTAATAGTCAATAATTTGGAATTTGGCAAAACATATTGCTATTCAGTCGGTAGTGGCGAATTAATAAGACCAGATTTTGGTAGCATTCAAAATAGCAATAGTAATAACAACAATAGCAATGAAATTTCTAGATGGAGCAAATGGCGAACATTCAAAACCGAACCAAAAGAAATTGATCATGTAACATGGGGTGCATTTGCAGACAGTGGAACATGGGGTGACGTACATCAAGTAGTTGAAGCAATGAGCAAAGATGATTCATTGACATTAGCAATTCATGGTGGTGATTTGTCATATGGCTTAAAAGAAGAAGTCTGGGATACATTTGGGGATATTGTTGAACCACTAACATCAAGACTTCCATTCATGGTGATTCCTGGTAACTGGGATGTCAAAGAAGGTGCATTATTACCATTTATGAACCGTTATAAAATGCCATTAGTCTATCAACAACCTACAATCGATATTAAAGTAGATGAAGATGATGATACTAAAATGCAACTCAAAAGTTTTCCCAATCTTTATTACTCCTTCACCTATACACACGTTTACTTTATAATGCTATCATCATATGACCCATATCAAATAGGTACTCAACAATATAAATGGTTAGTCAAAGAATTGGAATATGCCAACAGCGTTCGTTCAAAATATCCATGGTTGATAGTAGTCGCTCATAGCCCAATGTACTCATCATCAACAGGCCATGGAGGTAGTGACACAAATGTACGTAATCAATTAGAAACTCTTTTCCAAATCTACAGTGTCAATTTGGTTTTCTCTGGCCATGATCATGGCTATGAACGTACATACCCAGTCTATAACGAAAAGGTATTAAAAAAACACATTTACGAATATAAAAGCAAGGATGGAACCATTCATATATTAGGTGGTACAGGAGGTGCTACAGCAGATCCATGGTTTGATGAACAACCCAAATGGTCAGCAATTAGAGAATCAAGCTCGGGCTACACCAAATTTATAGCCCATAAACAATCATTACAAGTAACCTATATCCGTATGAATGGTACAATGGGTGACCATTTCCAAATTACAAATGACTACCCAACTATTGACCCAATTAAACCAAAAAAAACCATGGTAGTTAGCAGCTCCGAACATACAGGTATCCTATTATTATTTTTTGCTCTATTAATTTTCGTTTTCCCACTTTGTGCATATTACAAAATTCCAAGTTTAATTTTTCAATCACTAGTTCCAAAACAAAATAATAGTAAATCTTTTGTTTAAAAAATAATGTTCCTTATTGGTAATAATAACAATGTAAAAAAAATAAATAATAAATTAAAAACAAACCAAAAAAAAAAAAACAATATTATTTAATTTGATGGAAACAAAATGGTTTTTGAATGTTTTTATTTACTATTTTTTTTACAAAATTATTTATTGTTTTAATTCAAGTTTTTCTTTTAGCATGTTCACACCGCTTTATTTTATAATTCAAATACTCAATACTGTAGGTAACATTTACATGAACGATTTTATTTGGATTCAATATTCTCAGTAATATTTGGTGATTCTTTTGGTGGAAATTATTTTATTTTAGCATTTTTTATATTACTGAATAATTTATATATGTTCGGTTCGTTGAAATTATTTAAAAAATTGTGGTTAATGCATGTCTGTTAATTCTATTTTAAAAATAGTTTTTAATTTAATTTTTTTTTTTTTTTTTTAAATTTAAAATTAAAAAAAGTTATAAATATACTTTGGTTAAGAGAAAAATAAACGAAATTATATTTATTATATACAAATAAAAATAAAAAAAATTTATAAATATTTTTTTTATTTTTTTTTTTTATTTTTTTTTTTTATTTTTTTTTATTTTAAAATTTTTTTAAAATTTTTTTCACCAAGCCCCTAAAAAATCGTAAGTTTTTTTTTTTTTAATTATTAATTTTTTTTATAATATAATTGTATAATATATAGTTGGTAAGAAGACGATTATTATAACCATTTAAAGACAATAATAACAATATAATAGTAATAGTAGGAATGTGTATAGATATTTCTACTGAAACAATAATCAATAATAAATATTACTATTAAAAAAAATATGTGTATAAATAAAACTAATTAAAAAATATAAAAAATAGTATTTAGTTAAATTAAAATGGGTTTAGATATTGTTGCATTCCGTGCCGATAAAGGTGGAAATCCAGATCTTATTCGTCAATCACAAAAAGCTAGATATGCCAATGTCGATGCTGTTCAAGAAGTTATTGATTTAGATAAAACTGTCAAAGAAAGTAAGGTTACAGGAATATTTATAATATATATATATAGTATTTAGGTTACAGATCAATTTAGCTATTAATAATCAATAATCAATAATCGATAATCAAAAAAATAATATCAAATAAATTAATTTTAGATCATAAAAAAAATATATTTTTTTTAATATAAAATATTAATTAAAATTTTTATTTTTTAGCCAATTATAAATTATCTCAAGCAAATGGTGAATATGCTAAATTAAATAAAGCTGTTGCCATGAAAAAGAAAGCTGGTGAAAACGCTGACGAATTAATTGCTCAAGCTGAAGCTCTCGATAAAGATATTTCACAATTAAAAACTGATGCTACTGAACTCGAACTTGCATTAAGAAAGAAATTAAAACCAATTGGTAATATTGTTCACGAATCAGTTCCAATTGATAACAATGAAGATAACAACCAAATTGTCAAACAATGGGGTGAATGCAAAACATCAGAAGGTTTATTACATCATCACGAATTATTAGAAATGATTGACGGTTACGATCCAGAAAGAGGTAGCCAAGTTGGTGGTCACAGATGTTATTTCTTAAAAGGTATTGGTGTTCTTTTAAATCAAGCCATCATCAATTTTGCCTTAACTTATTTAACTAAAAAAGGTTACACTGCTCTCCAAACTCCATTCTTTATGAAAAAAGAAATTATGGCCGAAACTGCCCAATTAGAACAATTCGATGAAGAACTTTACAAAGTTGTTGGTGGTGCTGCTGGTGAAGAAAACGAAAAATATTTAATTGCTACCTCTGAACAACCAATTTCAGCTTTCCATCGTGGTGAATGGCTCGACGAAAAAGAGCTTCCAAAAAGATATGTTGGTTACTCAACTTGTTTCAGAAAAGAAGCTGGTAGCTCAGGTCGTGATACTTGGGGTATTTTCAGAGTTCATCAATTTGAAAAAATTGAACAATTCTGTGTCACCGAACCAGAAAAGTCATGGGATATGATGGAAGAAATGATTTCAAACTCTGAACAATTCTACCAAGAACTCGGTATTCCATATCGTGTTGTTAACATTGTTTCAGGTGCCCTCAATAATGCCGCCTCAAAGAAATACGATCTTGAAGGTTGGTTCCCAGGTTACAATACTTACAGAGAATTAGTTTCATGTTCAAATTGTACTGATTACCAATCACGTGATTTAGAAATCCGTTGTGGTATGAAAAAACAAGGTCAACAACAAAAGAAATACGTCCATATGTTAAATTCAACTCTTGCTGCCACTACTCGTGTTATCTGTTGTATTCTTGAAAATTATCAAACTGAAGGTGGTATTACTGTCCCAGAACCACTTAGACCATTTTTAGGTAATTGTTTTTTATATATACATTTAAAAAAAAAAAAAAAAAGCATATTAATTTTATTTATTTCTCTATCATATTAACAGGCAAAGACTTTATTCCATTCGTCAAATCAAAACCAAAGCAAAAGAAATAAAGATCTAAAAATCCCAAAATAAATAATAACTAATATAATCTTTAAATTAAATGATTTTATATTAAATAGAACCTTTTTTTTTTTTTTTTTTGCCACATCCTAAAAATATTCCAATTTATCTTGTCAATCTAATCATTGCTATTTTTTATAAAATAATTTTACAATAATTTAATAGAGATATTAAAAAAATCTCACAAATATCAAAAAATAGCTTAAAAAAAAACTTTATTTTTTTTAAATAACTTAAAATATGGTAAAAAAAGTTTTGTATAAAAAATATTTTTTTTATGATTAATCCACAACTATAACAAATATAAAAACAAACAAATATATAAATAAATAAATAATTATTTGTAAATAAAAAAAAAATGAAATTAATTTTATTATTACTCTCAATTATTTTTGTTTCTGCTGCTAAAGCTAGCGTTACTGTCAAATATGGAACCTGTGTTGGAGCATGCTATTGCCCTGCAAATCAAATTGAAAATGGAAAGTACAAAGATTTAAGTGAAGTTACTATCCCAGATTATCCAAGTTATTTAGATCTTAATTTGTTTTTTAATGTCACCTATAAACCATCTCAAAAGGTAATTGAATTTGTTAAAACCGATAGCTATAGCCCAAATCACCCAGAGTTAGCATATCCAATTGACGAAGACGATAACAGCTACAATGTTTCTCAATGTGCCTACATTTTATCAACTAAATTCAATGATGGAACATGCTCTTACCAATTTATGTGCAATGCTGAAGGCTCTTCATCATCATCAAAGTTGGTTTTTAACTATTTTGTTCTTGCAAGTTTATTATTTGTTTTATTTATTTAAAAAAATAAAAAATAAAAAAAAAAACATTATATTTTAAAACTACAAAATTTAAATAATATTTTTTAAAGAAATTATAACTTTATTTTTTATGTATTTAATAAAATATTTAAAAATACATTTAACAAATTGTTTTTTAGAAAATTAAAAAAATAAATAAAATTAAACTATTTTATATATACAATTAATTTAATTTAATTTACTTTTTTGGCATCATAGATTCTGGTAATGATAAACCAGAGTAGAAAACACTGTATTTGATAACTTTTCCGTCTAAAGGTGGGATATTAAGAACCCATTGGACTCTACGTGGATGGGTTGGATGATTGATAAACTTGATGTTGGTGGTTCCGTTGCTATCTGTTAATTGACTTGAGGTTATTTCGAAGAATTCCCATCTGTACATTGACTCCTCTACGGTGATACGAACTGGTTCTTCTCTACCATTGTTAACACGAATTTCATAAGTTTCGACAATGTATAAGTTATTAATATCAAAGTTGTAACCGGTTTGGGTACGAGTTGCTGAAACTTTACCTAATGGCTGGAGTGGAAGAGTAACAATATCACTTGGGTTAAAGTGTTCGATTTCGAATGAGTTGACAATATCTGAACCAAAGTGATCTTTAAGTTGTCTTTGAAGTTTCATTGAACCGGCTGGGATGGTGTATGGAAGATTCCAAGTGAATTGTACTGATGAGTCTACATGGGCAGTGGCGACAGCACCATGATCTTTATTGACATTGGTGTATTTGGTGTATTTTGGTGTATCAAAAGAAATAAAATCGAATGATCTAACTGGTAATTTGGTGGAGACAAAGCAGATTTGTTTTTGTTCGTTATTTTTGAGGGTAGTTTTATGTGGGATTTCGTAACGATAGATACGTTTTTCTGGCTCAGCTGGGGTTGAGCTACTATCACCACCAAAACTTGGGAGCTTTCCTAATTTGAATCCACCAAGTTTTGGAAGAGCAACTGGGAGTGCTGAGTCTGAATCGCTATCTTTCTTTTCGTCTACCTTCTTTTCGCTTGGCTCTCTAACTAAAATAACATTGGTATTGTTGAAAGTTTTACCTGATTCATTTTCAATTGTAAACCAACCTCTGAATTCCATTTCTGTTTCTCTTGGATTAAGAACAGCAACATAGTTTGAATGCCATTTGAAAAGGTTTTCTGAATTGTATGAAAGTTTAATGAGGTGTTTCTTTTCATTACCAGCGACAATCCAATCTAATTGTGATTCTTTGAAAATTGGCTCTACTTGGTTTTCTAAAAGATTATAGCTGATGGCTTCGTGGGTCTTTAAAAAGTGAATGGTATTGGTTTCTCTATTTTGAAGAGCATATTGTGATTCTTTTGGATTGTAGATGAGTTCACCCTTGAATACAACAGGTTCATCAAATTTATCTTCACGTGGAACTGATACTTCGATTTCTTTACCAATTAATTTCTCAAGCATTTTTTCTGGTGTCTTTTCATCGTGGTAATAGGTTTGTTCCATAACAAAAGCAGCTGGTTCTGAAAGTGAAAGGAAGTGAACTGAACGTTCGTCGATTTCTTTTGGTAAATCTTTAATGATAACTTGATTGTTTTCATCGAGTTCAATAGCACGAATTTCTTCGACAAATAATTTTCCGTTACTATGGATGTGAAGACGAATCATACCATTTTCAGATTGTTTTTCAATAGCACCCCAACTAAGTGGTGAATCGAAACGAGTTGATGCACATTGTGATGGCTCTTCACGATGTTGGAGGTATGGTTTAATTTCATTTGGATCAACTGCTTTTGGAACGACTGGTGGAGTAATTTGAGATTTAATAACTTGGACCCATTTTTGCTTTTCATCAAGCTTTTGACAAACCAACCAATAAACACGAGCTGATGTTTTCATTGAAAGTTTAAAACCAGTATTTTTATTTTCCATATCATCGACAGCTATATAATTTAAAAGAAAAAAAATTTTAAATTTTAAAATGTGGGTTTATAATTAGTAAAATTATAATATGAAAAAAAAAAAAAAAATTTTACTTACATAAGGCACCTCTCATTTCAATAACATTAATTGGTGAAACATCGTGACTATTCTTGAAATAAGCTAAACGGCCCTCTTCATATATTTTGAAATATCTCTTTTGGAACATTTTAGAACCAAAGAAACCTTCATTACCTTTCTTTTGAACAAAACCTTCATGTAAAACTTTACTTTGGAGCATTGGACCACTTGGTTTATCATCTTTTTCATCACCTGAATCTTCATCATCATCATTACCTTTTTTGCCAATACTAATTGTAGTAGTTCTTTCTTTGGCTGGTGGTTGTTGTGAATTTGGTGGTGCGGATGAAGATGATGAATTTGATGAGATATCTGGAGATGCTTCATGGGTATGTACAGTCTTGTTAGATAACTCTTTTGATTTTAAAAATGCTCTTTTGGCATGGCCTTTCTTTACACCAATAGCAACTAAATCGTCTTCAGTTAACTCTGCAATTAACTCTGGATCATCATAACCTGTAAAATAAAAAAAATGAAAAAAATATTTAGTTAAAACTTTTTTTTTATTTTATTTTTTAAAAATTTGGGGGAACCCATTTTATATACTTACCATTATCGATCATAATTGATTGGTATGATTCCAATCCGATTACTTTTAAATATTGTTCTAATGTGCTCATTTTATATTTATATATTTATATATATATATTTATAGATTTATTTAATATACAAAAGTTGGAAAAAAATATTTTAAAAATAAAAAAAATAATAATATGATAATATACAAATCTATGAGTTTTTGAAAATGAAATCTTTTGGAAAAAAAAAATGTTTTATAAAACTATTTTTTAAAGAAATATAAAGAAAAAAAAAATAAAATAAAATAAATTAAAAAAAATCTACAAAAAAATAAAATAAAAAAAAAAAATCTTTTTTTTAGAATCATCAATTTTACACCAAAAATAAAGAAAAAAAAATGAATAGATATTTTTGATTCTATGAAAAATTGAATGTTTTTTAATTTTTTTTGGTTTTTTTTTATTTACATTTTATTTTCTTTTTTTTTCCAAAATTCCATTTGGAGATATTAGAAAAAAAATGGATTAATTAAAATTTTTATTCTTATTTATTTGTTTTTCTTTTTTTTTCCATTTTAAATAATATAAATATTTTAAGTTTTTGTTTTTTTGTTTTTTATTTTTTGTTTTAATTATTTATGTTTCCTAAATATTTGTTAATGTTAATTTGTCACTTTGTAAAATATCTCACAAATGGTGGTTTTTTTTTAAAATTTTAATTTTTTTTATTTTTAAAATTTTTTATTTAAATTCGGTTTTACGGATAAAAGTGATTGGTGCAAGTTGCTGTATTCCCACCCCACTCCCGCTATGACCAATGATAAAAAACATGTTTTGATACATGCATACACACATACGTGTGCCCCTAAAAATCAAACATAAAATTGATACTAAACCACATCATTTTTACAATAAAATTTTTTATTTTTTTATTTTTTTATATTTTTATTTTGATTTTGGTTGGTTATTTTTCTTTTTTATTTTTTTTTATTTTTTTTTTGATTAACACAAATAAAAAAAAACAGAAAAATAAGTTTTTTTTTTTTATTTATAAATATTTTTTCTGTTTAGATTTAAAAAAAAATTACTCTTTTATTTTTTATTTTTTTTTTTACTTTTTTATTTTTATAAATTGATATTTTGGGAGGAGACAGATCAGGTTTGATTTTTATGAGAGTGGAGATTGGGGGTTGATTGGGATGGTCTCATTTTTAATATTATATTGGATGTTGAGGCTTCTCTATTTCTTACGTAATCTTTCATAGATGAAATTGCAGAGTCCAATGATTTTAATGCTTTATCACTATGGTTTTCGGCTAACCAAGGATGTTGCATACATTGAGATGCAGTCCATCTTTCGGCTGGGTTTATAATTAATAATTGTGAAATGAAATCTTTTGCTAAATCCGTAATACCTGACCATTCTGGTTCTGGGAAATCGTATTCTAATGCTAAAATTTTTTGGAATAATTCGTGATGTGTATCTGCAAAAAATGGTGCAAAACCGCATAACAATATATATGTAATAACACCTATACTCCACATATCAACTGATGTATCATATGGTTTGCATTCTAAAATTTCTGGAGCTGTATATTGTTTGAATATGAATGAGTGATTAATATTTAATACCAATAATAATATTTTATTGCTATTTATAAATGATCCAACTTACCAACATAATCTGGGGTACCACATGCTGTTTTTAATTCTTCGCCTCCTTCAAATATTTTAGATAAACCAAAATCTGCTATTCTTACAATTTCTTCTTTTTCATCGTCGGCTGAACATAAAAGATTCTCTGGTTTTAAGTCACGATGACAAACGCCATGTTGATGCATATATTCTACAGCTGATACGATTTGTCTGACTAAATTACATGCATCTTTTTCTGAATATTGACCTTTTTCTACAATTTTATCAAATAATTCACCTCCTCTAATTCTATATAGTTAAAAAAGTATAATTATTATTTTATTATTATTAGTATATATTCCTCTAAAATTTATTTATTAATATTATATAGGATATATTTACAATTCTAAAACTAAATAAAGGTAATCATTTGAATCAAAAACATCGATTAACTGTATTATATTTTTATGCTTTAACTTTTTCATAATTTCAATTTCTCTTGTAAATCTTTTCATATCTGCTTCACTTACATGTTGTTTCGAAATTGCTTTAATTGCAACTTGTTCATTTGTTTCTTTATGTGTACCTTGTTTAACTATTGAAAATGCACCTCTAAATAAAAAATAAAAAAATTAATGGATTTGAAAAAAAAATAAAAAATTATTTTTAAAATTCAACCAAACTTACCTTCCTATTTCAGGGCCAAGTTCGTAAAAATCCTCTATTTTGGCATCTTTCTTTCTCCCAATTTTTTTAAAAAGCTTTAACATTTTATATATTGTTTGTTATAATTTATATGTGTATATGATAATTTATATTAAATATTTTATATTTATTTATATTTTATATTATATATATATTTAATATTATTTTATATTTTATATCTGATTAGATGATTGTTGTACAGTGGTATATTTTATATTATATTTACAAAATAGTATTACAATGAATATGGTGTGTTTTTGCGTATATGTATGATTTATTTATATGTATATAATAATATGGTTTGGAATAATTTATTATTGTTATTGGTTTTTTTAAAAAAAATAAAAATTTTACTTTTTTTTTTTTTTAAAAAAATATTTGGTGAATGTGGATGAGTTTATGAGGAGTTATGAGGAGTATCTGTTTGACTTTGGGGGGTATACACAATTTATGATAATTGAGTTTTTTGTACAAAAATCAAAAAAAAAATAAAAAATAAAAAAATTATTTAAAATTTTTTTCTATTTTTTTTTTTTAGTTTTTTTATTTTTTTTTTTTATTTGATAAAAAAATAAAAAAAAAGATTTATATATATATATATATGAATTTAAAAATAAATGTGAAATTAATTGATTTAATAAATGAGAGAATTTACACAATCTCTCTCTATTTTTATAAACAACCCCCAGAAAAATAAAAAATAAAAAATAAAAATAAAAAAAAAATAAAAATAAAAAAAATAAAAATAAAAAAAAAAAAAGATAATTTAAAATAAAAAAAAATTTTAAAAAAAAAATAAAATAAAAAAAATTAAAAAAAAAAAAAAAAAGATTCATTATCTAACAATGAATTAAATTTTTTCGAATAAAAGCAAAAAGATCTTTCATTGAATGAATTCTAAACTTATATACGCTCACCCTATCCCCTATACTATAAAAAAAATAAAAAAAATAAGAAAAATAAAAAAAAAGTGTTGATTTTTTGGATCACACACACCAAAAAAAAAATATAATAAAGTTAGTATTAATAATGTGTGTGATTTTGGTATGATCTTCACCTATCGCATCATCATGATAAATTCATATTTTTTTTCAAAATTTTTAAAGATATTTTGGGTGTTTCAAATAAAAGATATTATCGTGTTGTTTTAAGATAATGTAGAAACAAAATTGCGATTAAATATTTTACTGATTATTTTTTTTGTCAAGCAGTCCTTTGATTTTATATTTTTTTAAAAAAAAAATAAATAAAAAAAAAAGAGGTTATTGCTCGTTTGTAATCAAGTTTTTTTATATCACAAAAAGTAAACGAGTGATTTATTATAAAATATTTCTCAATAAAAGAGCTTGGAAAACCTAAAAAAAAAAAGTACACATATAAATCTAATTGTTTATGGTAGTGTTTGGTTTTATTTGAAATTTGTTTTATTCTAAACAGAAATATATTTACCAATTTTAATTATATATATGTAATTGGAAAATTAAAAAAATAAAAAAAGAAAACTACAATCTATTTAATGAAATCTAATAAAAAAAAAATATAAAATGAATAAAAGAAATAAAAGCTATACCACCCACACATTTCATGTATAAATATAGATAAACAATATTCTATTTTAAAAAATTTAAAAATAAATATTATATTTATTTTTTTATATTTTTTTTTTTTTAATTTTTTTTTATTTTTTTTTAATTTTTTTTAAATTTTTGTTGTTTTTATTTAATTTTTTATATATTTTGTTTTCACATATGCATCAAAGAATAAATTAAGTTTTATTAATAGTAATATTGTTATAGTAAAAATAATAGTTATAGTTTTTATTAAATATTTAAATAAAAAACACATGTGTTGATTTTTCTTTTTTTTTTTTTTTAAATATATTTTTAAGTATTATAATAGTTTGTATAATATAATAGTTATATAACAAATAATAGCAAATATGTCATCTTCACCATTAAAGTATCAACAACAGTTTAATAATAGAGTTATTAATGTTAGTGGTGGTAGTAATAGCAGTGCAGGCAACAATGATGATATCATGTACAAATATGAAAATGAAAAATTTATTGTAAAGCAACTATTCGATCAATTATTAGGTATAGAGAATAACCAACATCAAACTCAGAATAGTAGCAGCAATAATAGTAGTAATATCAATAACAATAATAGAAATAAAAGTAATATTGTAATGGGCAGCGGCCAATTTAATAATAGTAATAACAATAATAATAGTTCAATAGAAAATTATGGCAATAATAAATATATAATTAAAAATTTTTCAAAAATTTATGAAATAATAGAGTTATTAAAGAATGATGATATATCATCATTTTTAAAGATAAAGATTTTGGATCAATTAATTCAAATATTAAGCTATTCATCAAATAATACAATTAATTTAATTTTAAATTTAAATCAAACTATCCCAAAAATTATTAAAAAAAAACCAAAAACCAGCAATAATAGTAATAATAACATAACAAATATTAGTGGTATTCGAAAAAGCATTGGTGTAAATTATTTAGTCGATTCAAATTTATGTAATAATAGTGATAATGAAAATTATGAAGAGGAAGAAAAAGAAGATAATGATGATGATAGTAATAATGAAGAATTTAAAGAAAAATATAAAGGTCACAAAGAAAGAAGAAAATCAAAAACATTGTATACAAATAAAAGTTTAGTGGTTTTAGATGAATTAATTCAGTTGTTACCAACTATCGACGATGAAAATATATCTTTAAAGACATTACAATTAATAGAAATTTTAGGTACAGAGCATATAACAGTTAAACAAGTTAGAAGAATATTTAGGCTTTTTGATAAGAATTATTTGTTGACTCATTATAAACCAAATCATTATTTTTTACAAAATGTAAGATATTTTTATTTTATTTTTATGTTTTTTTTTTGTCATTTTTTAATATAAAAAAAATAAAACACAAATAACATTGTTTATAAAATTTATAAACTAAAATTTTTATCACACATAGATATGGTTATACATACATATACATTATATTATGATTATTAATTTTTTTTTTTTTTTTTAGGGTTTACCAAATTTATTTAAATCATTGGATGTTATGACATTTAGAAAAACACCGTCATCAGTATTTTATTTAAATGGTATTAATTCAGGGTTAATTGTAGATCCAATCGGTAAAGTACCATCATCAGGGTATACAATATCAACATGGATAAATATTGAATCATTTCAACATGACAACAGTGAATCCATTAAAGTTTACGAGCCTAGATTGTTTAGTTTTCTTAATGAGGGTGGCGCAGGTTTAGAGTCTTTCTTTGAAAATGGAAAATTAATTTTTAGAGTAAATTCAAAAGTTAAAACAGTAATTTGTGACCAAGAATTTCCAACTAACAAATGGAACCATTTAATAATTACTCATGTGCCAACCAAGAAGTGGGGTATTGTGCCAGGTGCATCACCATTGACAGTTTATTTAAATGGTAAGATGATTTTTTCCCAAAATGTTAAGTATCCATCGACATCAAAGAATTTAAATGTCTGCTCAATTGGTACTGTCCCATCAAGTAATTTAATATCACCAACTTCTAGTAATGGTTTCACACACATAGCCTCGAATCAATCAGAGTGTTGTTTAAAGTGCCAGTTAGGTTCTTTTTCAATGTTATCGACTTCATTTTCAGATTCTGATGCTCAAGATTTAATTAAAAAGGGTTCAAACTATATATTTAAAAAACAAAAGTATTTATTTAGTAAAGTTATTAGAGAAACCTTCATATTAAATTAGAAATACTAATAATTTTTTTTTCTTATAGATTCGTCATATTCACTTTTTCACCCAAATCATTTTACGGTGGAGTTTGTCATGGATTGGGTAATAGAGAGTTAGATAATTCAATTAATGCATTTTCAATTGGTGATTTAAAAATATTTTCAACTTTTTCAATCAAGGATTCAGTCTATTTGATAGGAGGGCCACAAATTATATTTCCTTTATTACAGTCAATCGAAGATCAGTTTAAATTCAAAGCAGCATCAAACCAAACCATATCAGCATCATCGCCATCACTATCATCAACACAATATCATGTTCCTTCACCACCAACTAACTCATCTTCCTCCTCAATAATTTCAAATTCATCATCATCATCTTCATCTTCAAATAATTATAATACAAATTTAATTCAAACAGCAACTTTTAAAGGATCACAAGAGGATATTAACCAGCTTTCAAAATTAATCAATTATCCAAGAGTTTCAAGTATTTTAAGATTTATAACCCATCTATTAATTAATGATAAATATAATCAAAATGAAGTTTTAAAATCAAGTGGTATTTCAATGCTAGGCCATTTAATGTCGAGATTGTTTTCAAATAGTGAGGATCCAAACCATCCATATAATACAAATACTTTAGAAAGAGAGGAGTTTGATTTAATTTTTGATTCGCTTGATCAATTAACTGATATATGTTTCGATAAAAATCGTAAGTAAACATTTAATATATTAATATACTTTGTAATCCTTTTACTAATTAAAGCCATAGCATTATTAAAATTAAATATTTACAGAGAAATCATTTTTAATTTTAATATTTGGATAAATATTAAAAAAGAATATCAAATTCAATTATTCAATTTAATTATTTTTAAAGTATCACAGGATCCACAATATTTTAGGGAAAATATTAAAGTTAGATATTTATTGGATTGTATAAAATATTATTATCATATAAATGAAAAACAATTAAAACAACAAGAGTTAAATAAAAAGAAAAATAATAATAATAGTAATAGTAACAATAATGGCAATAATAATGATGAGCCAATAGTTTTAAATTATTTACATAATCATTTAACAAGTGATGGCTTAAAAGAAATTATTTCATATATTTTCGATATAATCAAAATTATTATCAAGCCAGTATTAAATGAAAAGGAAGTACCAGAAATTCAAGAGATAATAAGATTTATTTTAGACTCTGAATGTAATTCAATTGTTATAAAAGAATCACTAATGATAATATTATATAATTTATTTTTACCAGTTTCAAATCAAACTAATCAACAACAACAGCAACAGCAACAAGGCGCCAATAGCCAACAAACCCCATCTCCAGTTTATGATGATAGGTTTTTAAATTACGATACAATTAGGGGATTCTTAAATAGTTTTGAAGCATTTGGAGATATTAGGTCACTATTGGGTTTATTAAAACATGATAATGAACAAGTTCAAGTACTAGTTATCAAAATTATTGGAAAGTATATGAATATAGCCGAGTGTATTGCAAATGGTTCATCTGGCAATGTAAAAAGACACTCAACTTTATTAAAGAAAAGCTCTTTTGATGACTATTTATACTTTATTGGCGACCAATTGATAGAGTTCGAAATGACCGATTTAATCTATCGTGGTTTATCAGAAATAGTCACAGATAACATTACACCTTCAATTGCAGATACACCAAACTCACCATTATTAGAGTTGGTCGGAAATGAAACTCTAGGACCATCAAATAACAGCAGCAGCAATAAAGATAGCAATCAAAAGAATAAGTTACAAAGAAAAATTAATGTAACAGCTTTGGAAGTTATTTGTAAATTGGCCTTCAAAGCTCCATACGTACTTCAACAAAAAATTTTAAATGAAATTTTATTATGCATCAAACATTTACCACAATTAAGAGCAGGTATTTTAGACAGAGAGAATTGGCAAAATTGGTTATTATCATTATGGCCAACACCACGTTCAAATACATCATCTCCACCATGGTCTCCTCCAATTTCACCAACACTAAACTCAAGCAATAGCAAAGCCTTTTCACCACCATCAAATTCAGAAGATTTGGAACAAAGACATCAATCTTTATCTGAATCTAGAAGAATATATAATGAACAGGTTTCGAATCGTACCTGCCAATCTGGTATTAAAGAAATTTTAACTGGTATTATGAAGGTATTATTGTTTGATTGCATAAATAAAAAAGAAGGTTGGAAATTTATTGAGGAAACAGAAGCATGGATATCTTCACTGTTACCAAATGGTGTGCCATTAGAGAGAAGAATTTTCTATGAATGCCTTTTGAATTTAGAAAGAGGCTTAAAGAGTAGCACCGATACCAATACCTCATCTATCCTACTAAAGAATTATGTCAATTTGGTATCAATCATCGAAGATTTTGTATTCTCACACACGATGAATATTTTATCACATCGTAATACTCAGTCACAATGGGAAGATTTTGGTGTTGTTGCAAAACTATTGGATATTTTCGATATTAGCCAATCAATTCAAACTGTGCGTATTCAAAGCAATGTTGTTAAACAAATGAATCCATTTCAAAGTACTGGTGTAGTTAGTAGTGGCCAATCACCAACAGGGAGCATGTCATTATCACCATATATTATGACTTTAGCCCATAATAGTGGTACTATTGATTTACCATCTATTGATGTCACTTCTGGCTCTGCTAAGGCTAAGAGTTCAATTCATACAATCTATAGACTTTGTCTATGTATTTTCCAAGAGGCTGAATCCTGTTTTTATGGAGAAAGAGAGTCCTATAACTTAAGCCAAAGAGATCCACACTCAGAAAATGCCGACGATGATGAAAGAAATTTTGCCATCAGAGTTTGGGGTTTGCCAATGATTTGTGAAGATATGGACCAAATAATATCAAAGAACTCAATTCGTATTCAAACCATTTTAGCATCAGAAAGAGACCAAAAGGAACAAGTTAAGCATGTCATGTGGATTGTTTGTAGTTTAATCACAATTATTAGAAGACACAGAGAAAACCATACCGATAAAATTATTATGAATACTCAATCTATTATCATTTCATTATTAAAATCACTTCTAAAGACCTATGGCGACCTTATTGATAATTTTATTTGCCCACCAAATATCCTTGCACCAATTGCTGATAGCATCAATAAAACAATCACTGGTAATAGTTCAAGCACTAATAATCTTAATTCAACATTTGCAGTTCACACTATTCTTTCACTCAATGAACCACAAAACGAGTCTCACCCAGAATTTATGAAATACTTTAAGGACAAATTATTACAAAAGATTACCCTTTTGGATAAACTACACGAAATCAAAGACCACTATGAAACTGCCCATCTTTCATCTGCATTTACAATGACTCGAAGGAATAAAGTTTCAGAAACAATTAAAGGTAACAACAATAAACAACAATCTGTCATAGCCTATAGAGCTCAAAAACTTTTGGCCAAATCGATATCTGCTTCACAAAAATATGAATTTCAAGAGATTCAACACAAGAATGATTTTGAAGAATATGTTTTACAATATAGAATTTATTTAGATAGACTCTGGGATAAACAATTTAAGGATCTTACTAAAGAACCATCACCTTGGCATGAAATGGAACCAAGACACTTTGAAAAAACCATTTGGAAGCTTTATAATTTTTCAAATAGCAACCGTATACATATTTTATTAAAACAGGACTATGATGGTACAAATCATCCAGGTGCTGCTCTTTCAAATCAACAACAATATAATGTGCATAATAGCTCTCCAATCATTAAACAAACTCAAGATGAGCAATTAAAGAATAATCCAGTGCTTAGAAAGGTTATTAATTTAAACAACTCATCAAGTGGTTTATCAGCTATTGGTAATGTTGGTTCTCAAATGGAACAAAGTATCGAATCAACAGATTTGACACAAGGTTTAGTCGGTTTTGAAATGGATGATACAAATATTGTATTGGACGAAGCTCATGAAACTGATTGGTACTTGGTAGACGAACAAACCTCAAATAGAAATATTATTAAATCAAAACCTACTAACTCACCAACGGTTTCAAACCATTTGGTTAACAACAGTGCCGATAATAGCCCAAATTCTACCACCAATCCCACAAGTATTGCAACAAACTTATCAACTGGTTCATTAACTCCTACCGAAGGTTTCAAAAATATTAGTCTTATTAGCTCAAGTAGCAACTCATCTACAATTTTAACAAACCAACTTACCCAATTGAACCCAAAAAGAACAAACTCATCAAACAGTAATAAAAAGAGTATTTTAGAATTTAGTGCTCAAGGTGAAATCATTAAACCAATGATGGTAATAAGAGTAAAGATGTCTATTTACACAGATAAGATTGTATTTTCACCAACTCAATCTCAAGAAGATAATTGCATACCAGATAAATATTTTAAAGAAAAAGAATACGATATTAAAAAGCTAATTGGTGTTCAAAATCGTAGATACCTCTTACTACCAACTGCCTTAGAATTCTTTTTTATTGATCGAAAGAGTGTTTTGGTAAATTTCCCACATGGTTCAATTGTATTGAAAATTATGAAACTTTTGGGTAGCTTGTCTGGTACAAACGAGATCATTTTTAAGATCAATAATTTTGACTCAAATTTATCACCACAACAATTGGTAATTAAATATTTAAACCCAACTGCAAGATGGAAGAAAAGAGAAATTTCAAATTTCGAGTATCTTATGACATTAAATACAATTGCAGGTCGTACATATAATGATTTAAACCAGTATCCAGTTTTCCCATGGATTATTTCAGATTATAACTCAAGCAAATTAGATCTTAACGACCCAAAAGTCTACAGAGATCTCTCAAAACCAATTGGTGCTTTAAATCCAACTCGTCTGGAACACTTTATGGAAAGATGGACCCAATGCCCCGATGAAATACCACGTTTTATGTATGGTACCCATTATAGCTCAAGTGGCAGTGTATTATTCTTTTTAATGCGTTCAGAACCATTCACATCACATTTTATTAAATTACAAAGTGGCCAATTTGATCATGCAGATCGTATGTTTGATTCTATTATCGATTGTTGGAGAAACTGTTTAAATAGTTCGTCTGATGTCAAAGAGCTTACCCCTGAATTCTTTTATCTTCCAGAGTTTTTAATCAATAGAAATGGTGTAGAATTTGGTGTTAAGCAAAATGGCAAGGCGATGAATGACGTTGTATTACCACCATGGGCCCCAACTCCACATCACTTTATAATGATAAATAGAATGGCATTAGAAAGTGAATATGTTTCTAGAAATCTTCATCACTGGGTTGATTTAATCTTTGGTTTCAAGCAAAAAGGAAAAGAAGCTATCCAAGCACATAATGTTTTCTATCATCTTACCTATGAAGGCTCTGTGGATATCGGTGCTATGAGCGATCCAATTTTAAGAGAAGCTACCAGAGTCCAAATTAATAACTTTGGTGTAACCCCATCCCAATTATTTACAACACCACATCCCTCAAGAGATCCACCTAATCAAAAATTCAATTCAAAATTAGAAATATTTAAGAAATTAAAGCCACTTCAACTAATTTCACTCCCATTTTCCCCCTTATGTATTTTCGTTTATGGACCATCGTCAAATAGAGACTCTATGACAGTTGGTTCGTCGCTAATAAGTGGTGTAGTTGGTGGAGGCAGTAATCAATTAGGTGATAGAATTTTGGTTATTGGCGAGGCAAATAATGATTTCCAATACTATCGTTATTTAGAAAGCAATATATCAGCCGCAGCAGGTTTTATGACTCAAAGCATTACACCATTATCTCAAAACATCCCACTTTCACTATCACTAGGTCTTCGTTCTGTTATTGGTAAACCATTCTGTCAAATCCCTGGTAATTCTAAACTATTACTATCTAGTGGCAAATGTGATAACACCCTTCATGTTATTCATGGCGATTCTAAACTAACAACAGGTCCTATTTCACACAAGTCTGCAATTACCTGTATTGCTTATGATGAACACCAATGTGGAAGATTAGGTGTTGGCGGTATTATAGTGGAACAGAGAGTTATTGTCACTGGTAGTGATGATAGTACAGCCATTATTTGGGAATTAGATAGCTCAGACTACTCTGTTAAACCAGTTCATATTTTAAGAGGTCATAACTTTGGCATAACCTGTATTTCCATTAACAAGTCCAATGATATTTGTTTAACTGCTGGTAAAGATGGAAAGGTATTGGTACACTCAATAAAGAAAGGAACATTCTTTAAATCAATAGAACATCCAAACAAATTACCAATTCACTCAATGATATTTTGTGCAGAGTCCTCAAGCATATTTATTTATTCAAATACGATTATATCATCAAACAGTACATTTAGCAGCAGCACCAGATCACCGCTAGCCAACAGCGATTCCACAGAGTGGAATAATGTTCTATATAGATTTTCTATTAACGGCGATTTAATTCAAAGTGTATTAAATGATGTTCAACCAACTATTGTAAAAATGCTAATAACAAAATCACAAAATGGAATCAGATATTTATTAAGTGCAGGTGGTTACCAAATTGTAGTTCGTGAAATGCTAAACCTTGAAATTGTTCATGTTTTTGACATTAGAGATCTCTCTGGCTTCACTTCAAGTAATAGAATTGTGGATCTTTATTTATGGGGCAGCGATGAATCATATCAAAAGCCATCAACAAATAGCAATTCAAACGACAACTCACAACAAAATATTAGCAATTTGGTGTTAATGGTACCATTAGAATCTTGTCAATTATTAATTTATAGTTTGGATGAAAGTGGGAATCTTAAATCATTATCAGATTAATAAAATTATAAATTTTGTACATATTATAATTATAAAAAAGTTTTTTAGAATTTTATTTTATAGATTTAAAATATTTATTATTATATTTTAATTTATTTTCGACTTTATTATTTTATTCTTCCCCACTTTGTTGGTCATTGTTTTTGCTTTTACTTTTTCTTCTGTATGCTCTTGTGTAACACTTTTTACATTTTTTTGAATTTGTATAAAAATCACCTATTGGCAAAATATTTCCCTCTCCACACAAAGACTCATGTTCTGGATCCTTGCATTCTTTATAGTTTGTTGGTACTGAAAAAAAATTAATTAACCCATTTTCTTCTTTCTTTAAATTGCTAACGATTACTTCAGGTTTGCAATATTTGGAATTGTTCATTGGGATTAAGATAAAGCTATCAACTTTACTATTGGTTTGCACTTTTGAGATTTGTTGAATATGTTGTCTTTGTTGGTCGTATTGGTTAGAGATTGGTGGAAGTGTTGGTATATTTGGTTGTATTTGTTTGGGTGAAGATAATGGATAAGTAAAACCCTGATGAGAGTTTTGTTGTTTAAAATATATTGATCTCTCATTAGGTGATAATAATGGGTTTGGAGAAATATTATTTTGTTGTTTATATATTGATTGATTTTGATTTTGATTTTGATTTTGATTTTGATTTTGATTTTGATTTTGATTTTGATTTTGATTTTGATTTTGATTTTGATTTTGATTTTGATTTTGATTTTGAATGAATTGGTGGTACATATATTTTTGATCTACATTTGAATTTTGTTGAAAAAAAACATGATTATTATATGAGTCATGTTCAACTTGGATATATTTCGGAGATGGTGAGGGTTGCTTTATTTCTTGGGGATAAAGCCTATATCTATTGGTTTCTTGATGAAGTTGTTGTTGTTGTTGTTGTTGATGTTGCTGTTGCTGTTGCTGTTGCTGTTGCTGTTGCTGTTGCTGTTGCTGTTGAAAATATCGCTGGTGATGTAAAAACCTTTGATACTCAAGCAATTGCCTATCTGTTGTTTTATTTTGCTGGGTTTGTTGAATGTAACCAATGTTTGATTCATCATGGCTTTGCTTTATATTTTCTTGTTCCTCGGATTGAATTTTTTCTAAAAGCTTCTGTTGTTTTCTTATTAACTTTTGATGTTTTCTTTCTTGGTGAATTCTTTGCTTTTCTAATTCTTTTAATTGCTGTAAATTTCTTTCTTTTTCATTAATATTTTTATCATTATTTTGTTGAATATTTTGATTAAACTGGGTAGATATTAATGATGCTTTTTGTTGAGGGGAATTAAAGCTTTGGGTTAGAACAGGTAATTGAAAGTTATTTTGGGGATATGGATGAATTATTTTTTGTAACTCTTGATTCTGGCCAAATCCTCCTAATGGTGATGGCAATTTTATGGATAGTCTAGGTGATTCATTTTGACTAACCTCACAAGGACTAATATTGATTTTATTAATATTTGTAGTATTAAAATTACCATTATTAATATTGTTATTGATTTTATTAAAACTATTATTAAAACTACTAATATTTTTATTTATATTATCTATATTATCTATATTATTTATATTATTTATATTATTTATATTATTTATATTATTTATATTATTTATATTATTTATATAATGTATATTATTTATATTTATATTTTTATTCAAACTATCTATATTATTTATACTATTATTTAAAATACTATTAGTATTACTATTATTATTGTTATTAATTCTATCATGATTGGTTGTACTATTATCATCGAGACTTTTTTTAAGAGAGTTTTTGCCATTATTATCATTATTTATTGTTGTATTTGGTCTTGGTGAACAAGTTTCATTTGACTCTTTTGTTCTTGCTCGTCTATTTCTAAAAAATACACGAACCTGTTGATCAGTTATATCTAGTTCTTTTGCTATTTTAGTAACTTCTTCATTTAAGCATCTACCATTAAGAGAGCTTTCATAGTACTCTTTTAATTTAGATATTTGAAACTCTGTATATATTTTCTTTTTTTTTCTGTTTGAATCATCATATGGTACCTGATATTCATCAAAACTATATTCTTTTATTTTATTTTTTTTATTTTTATTATTAAAATAATAACTATTACTGTCATTATTAATGCTATCACTAATACCGATTTTACAACCATTACTAGTATCGCCACTATTATAAACAACACCATTGCCCAGTCTATTAATAAAACTATCGATACCATTATTGCTATTATGGTATTTTTCAAAACTATTTATATTATTTTCTGTAGGATTTATATCTTTGACTTTATCTAAAAAAATTTTGTTTATTGGGTTATTTACATTTAAACCATCATCATTATTATTATTACTATTATTGTTATTGTTATTATTATTATTATTATTATTATTATTATTATTATTATTATTATTATTGTTGTTATTATTGTTATTATTATTATTGGTATTATTATTATTATCATAATTATTATTATTATTATTATTATCATAATTATTATTATTATTATTATTATTATTATTATTATTATTATTATTATTATTATTATTATTATTATTATTATTATTATTATTGTTATTGTTATTATTATTTATATTATTATTATTATTATTATCATTATTACAATTATTTTTATTTAAATTCATATTAATAATTTTAGTATAACCACTATATAAATTAATATAATCTAAACTATTTGAGGAACTTTTACTGCTATAAGAAACATTAAAATTGTGAGCAGTATTATTTGAAATTTGATTATTTAAACCAATTTCATTGAACCCAGATTGGTCTTCAAAGATATTTTTATTGTCATTGGTTATTTTTTTAAGATTTAAAAATTTATTTTTATTCTGATCAGTATTTTTTAGATTAGATTTATTATTTTCAAACATGGTACATTTTTTTTAAATAATAAAAAAAAAACTAATAATAAAAAATACAAAACAAAAAATAAAAATAAAATTCAAAATAATAAAATGAAGAAAAGAAAAAAAAAAAAAAAAAAATAACAA